TTTTCTCTTTTATAAGTGTTCAAATCTGAACATCTGACTAACTTTATCTTTAAATGTTTTTTTCTCAAAACGGATACGGATACACAACTCTAGATCTTTGTCTTTACTCTGGTAGAGATGCCGGAACTTATGAAATAATAAAGCTACTAAAACTCTCGCCTGAGAAGTTAACAATTATTCACTCAGATCAGTTATTTGACTTTCAACTCCAATTGTGCCTGGTCCTTATTGGGAAAATTTAGTTATTATCTAACGATTTGGCTGAGACAAAACTAGAACTAGTTTAATTCACACTATCCACTTTGTCGTCACCATTCTCTCGCCCTTCCCGACGGACGTTGCTTCTCGCCGGCGGCCACCTCTTGTAGGCCCTACCCCGACCTTCCCTCCTCTGAAACACCATCCCGACACATTCCACTGCAACCATAAAAAAAAATCGGTCATTCTTCAACTTGCTCGACGCCGGTCGATACACTTTGTGTGGTCGTGCTTGTGCGTGAGATGCAGATCTGGGAGAAAACGAGACGCTAGTGTCAACTGCGGCGAAATGCTGAGGAAGAGCTGGTGGTGGTGGTATGCAGACAAGTAGGTGAAAAACATGTTGATGGTTGTGACGGACGTCTGCGGTCGGCGGTGGTCGTGGTGGCCGTCGGGGGGAACTGTGTGTGTGCGTGTGGGCTCTGTGAGCTGGTGGATATCTGTGGCCGGAATGCGGAGGCGACACGGTAGGATGGTTGCGGATGGTGGATGGCGGAGGCGAAGTGACGGTGGCGCCGACGGACTGTGTGTGTGCGTGTGAGATATGTTCGTGTGAGAGAGACAAATAGATCGAGGTAGAGAGGAGAGATAAGAGAGAGGGATCGGTGGGACATTTTTTTATGGGGGTGGTCCACTTATTTTTTTAAAATTACACCACTGCCCTTACAATTATCTATTTGTCCATGAAATAGTATTTTAATTACATTTTTGCCATAGCAGGTTTGACATTTTAATTTAATTTTGACTTCATCGTGTTTATTGATATAATTCATCCAATAGTCCATATTTATTCTTATTTCTTTCACTATCTACCATTCTCATATGATCCATTCTCTTGATATATATATATATACATATATATATATATGTAGTGTTTAGTAAAACTAATAATTTAAAGTATGACGGTGCATAGTAATCGAAATTACTTAAATTTACTAAAATGAGTTGTAATTACTATTTTGCTAATGATATAGGAGAATTTTTGTTTGTCATAAGTAGAGCTATGTAAACTAGGTTGAAAAACTCTTTAATCAAGTGTAACTTTGAGTCTTTATGGAGCCGATTCAATTGGTTAACGAGCCTTAACGAATCGAATTATACTCGAAGTTCAAAAAATTATGATAAAAATTCTTATTTTCAAGTTTAGCAAAGCGATACTCTAACTTGTTAACTAAACAATTATTAAACGAGCTTAAGATCGAACTATAAAACAACTAACAAGTTGAACTCTAGTCTTATTTTTTGTTAACGAAGCGATAGATTCTATTACTCGGGAAAATGTACAAAGAGACATGGCTAAGAAGCCATACAATCAACCCACATAGGGTGAATAGAGGAGCACACTAGACTTGTGCCCTAAAGAAGCAAACTGCAAAATACAAAGTTGCCGAAGAATATGCCGGCTAAGACAAATCTCGATTCCCGGGATAATCTACAGCAACTTTGCGCTCACTTAAATACAAGCAAGCATGGCAAAAGGGGGCTACCACTGCAGCAAAGGCCTAGCAGCGCCCAATCAAAAGATCAGAGGGCGCCAAAACAAAAACCGAACCCTCTGAGACTAGACCCAAAAGGAAAAACAGGACATACCAACATAAAATAATTACAGACAAAGCATACTAATCTTACAACAGAAACAACAAAACATGGCTATGAGATGGAAGAAAATTCGTTCCATTCAGCCACAGCAATGTCCACCACGGCTTTCCCATCTATTCGGATTTTTTTAAACACCCATAGATTCCTCGTCTTCCACAACCACCAAAGTAGGTATGCGGTGGGTTGGATTCTGTCTTCTGAGATGGCTGTGGATGGAAGAGAGCAGATGGCATCCCACCAGTCTTTGAAGCAATTGGATTTTTGCTGAATGCCCTCCCAAGAGATAGGGGCATAATTCCATACCATTTTAGCAACATGGCATTGTAAAAGCAGATGTTCAGGTGTTTCCGCTTCTTCTCCACATCGGCCACAAATGATGTCAACTTCAACACCTCTGCTTATGATATCGTTGTTGGCATGCAGTGTGTTATTATAGCAGGACCATATGAAATGCTTGATTTTACCTTTGATTTTGAGTCTCCAGAATCTTTTATGACTTTGATTGAAATGTAAGAGCTTTTGCTGCCTTCAGGGAGATCCATCTGACTCCAAGCTTTCTCAATCAGTCTAGCATAGGAAGATTTAACCGATAATTTAGATTGGGGTCCATCTTCCCAGATAAGGTTATCTGCTTTTCCAGGTTCCATGCCTTTAATTTTCAAGATTGCTTGCATATCTAAATGAGTGAAATTGGTCCTCAGTTGTTCCATATTCCAGCTTCTGCTCGTGTTGTCTAAAACATCCTTGACTTTCAGTAGATTCGGAGAGGAGAAGGGGAGCTTCTGGGGCATGAATTTGGGGACACCAGGTATCCAAGAATTGTCCCAGATGTGGACTAAGTTGTCTTTGTTAATCTTGAATCTAGCTCTTTCCTGAAAATCTTCTCACTTCAAGCCAGTTGTTCCACATCCATGAACTTGAGGCTGATTTCTGCACCTTGAAGAAGCTAGCCTTGTGAAAATATTTGGCTTTGAGGATCTTGTTGGATAGAGAGTTTGTGTTGGTGAGTAACCTCCACAGTTGCTTGTGAATCAAAGCTTTGTTGAGAGATCTCATGTCCTTGAACCCAAGCCCTTCTTTCTCTTTTGGGAATGTGACTGACTTCCAGGATTTCCAATGGATTGCCTTTTTGCCTGCTACACCCTTGTTCCACCAGAAGTTGGCCATCCTTTGAGAAATTTTCTGCACTAGAGATTTGGGCAGAAGAAAGCAGCTCATGGCATACACCGGGAGAGCAACAAGAACATAGTTTATAAGCACTTCCTTACCTGCATGAGATAAGAACTCGTTTTTCTAGTTAATTTTTTTTTCCACTCTCTCCATAGTTGAACTCTAGTCTCCCAATGACTTTTACGTTTAACAACTTCAATATATAATAATAAACAGAGAATATTAAACAGAGAATATTAAACAGAGAAGGGATGAACTCTCAAAGAATATTAAACATAGAAGGGATGAACTCAATTTGCTGTCAACATCAAATCAGTGGGAAGCCAACTTTAAGCGTATTCAAGAATTGGAGGCGCAAATAGACAAACTTACCATCCAAGAAGAAACTTATTGGCGACAAAGAAGCAGGATCACGTGGCTTAAGCAGGGAGATAAAAATTCAAAATTTTTCCATGCTCAAGCATCGCGATGTAAATCGAGGAATTATATTAAGGGCCTTCTTAATTCTCAAGGGTCTATCTGTACAAACGGAGATGGAATGATGGAAATAATTTCGGATTA